GCCAATGTCAAAAATTATTAGGGAAAAATTACAACTTTTGTCCAGCCGAACATGTCTCAACGAAAGTTAGCATAGCAGTTTTACTCAGAAGAATCCAGTGCCGGGTTTTTCCTAAAGCTCAGAAGGCCCGGACCTAGGGCGTCGGGCCAAATTATTACAAATAGTTTATTCTAGACTTAGAAGACCAATTTCCACTTTCGTACTCAGTGCAGTATAAACAAGTAAGAAAGTCTAAGTTCGGGTGGAGCCGAACATTAAATACCCGGCGCAAGTATTAAATATATAGTGGTATTCGCGCTTCAGTGTATTCGCTGTAGCCTGCGTAAGTGTGTAGCAACAACAAATCACACGCTCATGCAGTTACGATTACACAACATACAACGAATACACATAAGAGCGCATTCCCCTTATGTTTTTTCACCTTTCCGAAACCTACCGCTAGAGGGTAAGCCGAAGTGTATCAATTTTGAGTAAATTAGCGTCCTTAAATTTCGAAATATTGCAGTTTCAAGCATTTATGAAATTTACCGTTATATGGAAAGCGGCCGTAATTTTATGTGGCAAGCACAACAAAAATACCGAGTTTGGTACAAATTGATAGAACGGTTACCGATATACATATATGTGGTCATAAGTGGGCGGTGCCACGCCCATTTACCAAAATTTAACCTTAAACGTATTTCTTGGTAAAGAATTGTTGCGAGCATCAATTTTGAATAAGTTAGCTTTAATATTTACTGATTTATACTATGTCTCCATTGTGAGATTTAATGAAGATTTAGCCCTCTGACGAGATTTGACGTTAAATCTTTTGAGATTTACCATATAAAATTAAATCTCGAAAGGCAGTAGATTTAAGTTAAATCTTCGTCAAATCTTCAATAATATTGATCAATAAGTACAATTTGTTGGATGTGGCAACCACAAATTCACATGCCATAAGTCAAATGACATTTGTGTTTTCAATATACAGTTGAGGACATTGAAATCTAGCCTATCATAAAAACATGAATTTTCGTATTTTTAGGGATTTTTATATTTTTGTTAGTTTGGGAGGAAAATTAGTAATACATATTTACATAACTTTGGTTGTAATAAATTAAGAAAATATTATTTTAAAAACTAAAAATTTAGAAGAAATGTTTTATAGTAATATCATGCAGAGTCTTCTCCGCTTTCTATAAGTCATTTACGCGCTGCGACAAAAAATTTATAAATTTCGGTAATGGTTCTGCTTCGATAACATTGCACCGAACATCCTCTAGAACTCAGTTCGTATTCATGATATGCCAAAGGCCCACGATTGGATTTTCGGTTCCCTCCTATGAATAAGAGAGTTCTACACAAATTTTTCTTTCCGCAAATGTTTTTTACCGTTTTGATAATTTTTCTTAAATTCGGGAAAATGATTCGGAATATGGTACCATTCTTTACACTTTCCAAACTATATATTATACATACATATTTACCACGGATTA